GGGGGGGGGGGGTGTGCAGTACACCGCCCAGACTATGGGAGGATGAGGGTGAGGCACAACTGAAGTCCCCAGGCTGGCAGGGAACACCAGAGAACTGGGCACAGACCAGGCACGTGAAGGGGTGGCGGGCCACCAGCTGCTGTCCTGGGCATGGGGGGGAGCCTCAGTGCCACTTCTGCCCTGCTCCAGCTGGGGGCTGTGGAGAGTGGCTGCATAGGCAACTGGGCTCAGCTGGAGCAGCATGCAGGTTGCTCTTTCTAATGCCTACTCCCTTCCCCACCCTCATCTCGATGCCACCCCTAGCCAGGAGCAGGTGTAAGAAAAAGGAATCAGTGTGTTACCATGGCTGTCCTTGACCAAGCCTGGCTGGCCACACAGCCATTCCTCACAGCTCCAAGTGGGAGGAGGGCAGGAAGGCTCTGGGGCTCCCTGCATACCTTTGTCAACTGGGTATTGTGGTGGCGACAATGCCACAGGCAGGGCTGTTCTCTCAGTGCCTGTTCCCACCCCATGGAGGATGTGGTGTTGTGGCAGAAAGTAGATGCAGGAAGAGGAATCCATCTGCTGCCACTAATGTCCATTGGCATCCTGCAGCTGAAGCAGCTCTGGGGCTTGCCCAAGGACAGCAATGGTGGCAGAGGTGAAGTGTGACTGCATCTGACAAAGGAGCAGCTTCACCGGTAACACAGTTAGTGCTCTTAATTGTCAAGTGTGAGAGAAGTGTGGGCAGCACTACAGACTTGCACTGATGGGACTACATTGCTTTTAACTGCAGCATGTGTTTCATGGATTTACATTTTTAAGGCCTAACAGTATTAATAAAATCATCTAGTCTGACCTCTTGCATAAACATAAACCATAGGATTTCCTTCACCAAAACGCATAATTTCTGGTTGAGACAGAGCATCTTTAGAAACTGGATGTCTTCCAGAAAGACACCAAACAGCTGCAAATCTTTACAACATATCCTTTGGTAAGACGCTTCAGTGGCTCAGTACTCTCATTATTAAAAATGAGTGCCTTACTCTTAATCGGAGTTCCCTGCTCATGCTGGCAGAGCAATCTGTAACAGATTCAACAGTGTCCAAATTGTTACAGCTGTTCTGAGCAAAACAATGTTGATCTGAAAAAAACTCTGCTGCTAGAAAGCATATTTGTGGTTCAGAAGGAGATGTACCAGGGGTACAGTGCCAGCCTGCAGTGTGAAAAGCCCTCAAGCACGAATGCATTCTGGATGCTGTTTTCTGATGAAGCAGTGCAGGACAGGTGCTAAGATTGCACTGATACAACACAGGCTTTATGACAAATATGGATGATCAAACATGGTCAACATATTCTCTGTGCTATGAAAGTCTCCAGGGTGTTATAACCAGTTAAAATAAGTCTCTTTGAATGGCTAAATGCCATCCTACTTCTAAACAGAGTCCTAGAGAAAGCAGGCAAGACTAATAGGACCTTGCACAAGCAACACCAGGCATTCCTGAACAGACTCAGACCAAGCTTGACTACTTTCTTCTAAAAACAGGATTATAAAAGCCAGTGAGAAAGGGACCACAAAAGATCTCTTCCAGCTCTAAGCCACACACTAATCCCCACTGACTGCTTGCAGCTAGTCAAGAACCACCCCAAATATGCATAACTACAGAATCATTATGAGCTTTTTACACCTTCCTTTGAAGCACCCAGCCAGAGATGGGGGACAGGACCAGACCCAAACTCCACACCACCCCGTGCACCAACAAACACAACAGACCCTCCAAAATGCACTCCCCTCATAGCAGTTACTCACACAATCCTTTTTTGTCTCTCCTATCCTTTTTGCTCCTCTCTTTGTCATTGCCACTGTCTTCTCCCAGAAGCATCCTCTGCAACTCCTTCCTCTCTTGCTCCTCTCTCTCTCGGGACAGCTGTGAACTTGTTTTCTTGTTCTGTAACATATTCTCAATATTCTTTCCCATCTCCTCAAAGTCACTGTCCTCAGCTGAGCTGCTATCCGTGTCTGTTGATAAGATCTCAGTTGATTCCAAAACCCTGAAACAGGAAATACCTTCAGAGTCAATTACCTCAAAAGCCACACGGGCTTTGCCATTAACCCCATACCATGGGTGATAGCTGGCTGGATGACAGCACTATGGAGTAGGAACTGGGAATCTGGGTAGATCACACCCTATACAAGTCGAGGGCCAGGAAATAACTTTTTCCCCTTTCTGCTTCTACAGGTCAGAGTTTTTTCCCTGCTTCCTCAAAAGCACTGAGGGTTGGCTGTAGCCAAGGCTGGGGATTTTGAATGGGCTGTGCCAATACTCCTGCTGGAACCAAAGCCAGAGGTTCCTGGCTAGGTCTTGCCCTTCCACTCAGGGTCAGACCAACTGCCATATCTGGGGTCAGGAAGGAATGTTAACCCCTGTCAGACTGGTATGGACTGCAAGAGGTTTTGCCTTTCTCTGTAGCAGGGGGCATGGCCCTCTTCCTTGGATCTCTCGAGCATAATTTTAACAACCTTGCCACAGCAGGACACTGGGCACCACAGTCCCCCTGGTTGACTGGAGTTTTGCTAATAAGTTAGAGCATGAATTTGTACAGGGATGACCTTGGCTAGATGACCTCTGAAAGTCCACTTCTCTACAATTCTTCCCACAAGAACAGAGTGCCAGAAGTGAGAGCAGTTTGACAACAGCACCCCTCACCCACTCCCAAAACAGTAGCCAGAATTCAAAGGACTGAAACAGACACCCATACCTTATGATAGTCACTCATTTCTCCCCCTCATCACTCCTGCAGCCCCTGTCCTCAAAGCAGCACAAACTCAGTGCCCCCACCCAATTTGATCCTGGCTCCTGAGCCAGGACTTTGGATGGAGGTGTGAACACTGAAGGCAGCAGTAACAGAGCAGAATGGGAAGCCAGTAGTAGCCACAAAGAGAGAAAGGGCAAAGAATTATCAAACTACTACCCTAGAAAGAAGGAAAATAAACCTGTAGGCTGCTGCTCTGTGAAACATTGTGTTAGCTCATAACACTCATCAGGCTGGACTGTCAGGCTGCCATTTCTGGTCTTTCCCAAAAGATTTGTGAACGTGAATACATAAAAAAAACCAAGCCCTCCTCCTGAGTGCTTTGTTAACAGGTCTCAGGCAGATGAATCAACATTTATCTTGCAACATGGCAGTCTCAGGCATTGAAAGACCATAAGCAGGGACCACCAAAATCACAGCAGAAGCAGGCCACACAGCACTTCCTTTAATCCTGCAGTCCCCCCCCCCCCATACACCCCCATAGCTGATTGGCTGAGGGGCCCTGCTGCTTGTTGCTGACCAGCCAGAAGGCAAAACAGCACCAAATTTAAAACCATGGTTTTCACCTCCCTGGCCATCAGGAGCGAGCAGCAGAACACTTCTGCCAAATGGTGCAGAGGGGAAGCAGAGGAACCTGCAAGATTAAAAAAAAGCCAGTGTGCAGCCCACTTCTGCCGCCAATTAGGTAGGTCTTTATCCATAAGGCACATAAAGCAAAAAAGCAAAGGATCCTGAGCTCCTGGCCAGAAGCTGCAAGCAACTGATAAGAACTTACTTATTCTGCAAGTCAAAGATACGCTGACACTCCTCTTTGTATCTCTCCTGATGTTCTGCCACTGAGAACCGAGATCCACGGGCAAATTTACTCATAGGCCCCTCCCCTGAGCGAGCCTGCTCTGTGGACATTGTGCGCACCACATCAATCACTTCCCAACGGGACAGCTTTTTAATCTGAGAAAAGACAGAGTAGAAAGGGCTTCAGGGGAAGCAGCAGCTGGGGAAGGAATATCTGCAGCCAGAAAAGTGGAGGTCTTTCTGTATGCAAGCCTGGCCTCCACTCCCTTGATCCCAGCTTCACACATTAGCTACTGCAGGTTCACTCACCTCTTCTTCAGGAACTCCAAATTTACGCAAGAGCTGTTTGGCATTTTTGAGAGAAAGACGCCGGAGATCAGCATCTGTCCCTGTCACTGTCTTCTTCACTGGTTGTGGCTCCTTATCATCCTGCTCCAAGAAGAACACTGCTGTGAATCTCCCCACATGTGCCAGCATTTCCTGTACTTATACCCTGACATCCTCTCTCTACCCAAGCCCAATTGGCCT